GGACGCGCAGGCTCAGCGGCCATGGCTCACGGGCCCAGCCGCTCCGTGGCACGTGGGATCTTCCCAGACCGGGGCACAAACCCGTGTCCCCTGCATCAGCAGGCGGACTCTCAACCACTGCGCCACCAGAGAAGCCCCAGTTACTCTTTCTTATTCATTAAGTGCTCTTCCCACCTACAATCACCCCTGGAAGTGTTTTAATCATGAGAGCCTGGGTAGGATGACTGCTTTTTATTTCCCCAAAAGCGTCAATCTTCTTAAATCTAAGTTGGGCCTTTACATTTTGGTGTTTTCAAAATGAGTTCAGGTAAAGGTGAGCAAAAATAGAGGGCAGGATGAAATTGGTACAGTTTCTCTGCTTTATCTTCAACAAATTATGAGGTTTTTTAGTTACCTCTGGGTTGTTTCTTCATCTTGATATGCGTCCTTTTAAATGTTAAAGAAATATCATGGTATACTGGAGGGTAAAAACATAAACATAAGAAGGGTTAGGGGTATAGATTTAATGCCCTTGCAAATATCACAAAGCAACCAATACTACCCTAAGCAGCCACCACACACTGGCCAAGGATGAGTAACAAACTCTGATTTCACTCATTACTAACCTTCTCAGGAGAGAAAGTTTGTTTCTACATTTTATATATTTATATGTAAGAATGCAGTAACAAGCTGGGAAACACAGAAACACCCACAGAGATATACTGCCACACATAAATGAAACAAATATAATCCTGCAAATTTTAAAAGAAAAGATTAAAACTCACTTGTATGGTCTTCATATCGTTCTACATAATGCAAACAGTGAACTGCCTTGTTCTTTGCCTGAAAGAAAGAAGGAAAATATTTTTCTTAAATCTATTGTTAGAATTTACATTTCTTCAGGGATTTCAAGAAATACCTTTTATAAAATATTTTATTATGGAAAATTTCAAATTTACACAAAAATTTCAGTATATACTTCTAAAAGCTAAGAATTAAAAAAAAAAAAAAAAAACCAAAACCTGTAAGTGTAACATCACTATCACACCAGAAAACAAACCCAAAACAATTCCTTAACATCTTGGACAGTGTTCAAACGTTCCCTGTTGTCTCGTAATTTTGGTAAGCAATTACAAGTCTGATAGAAATGATGCAAGAATACAGGCACTTCTGAAATTGCTTTTTCTGAGATAAGTAACCTTTGCCAGTAAGTATTTGACAGTAAGTAAGTAACCTTTGACAGTAAGTATTTTTTTGTGGTTCCCACAATGTCTAGCACATAGCTTATTGGTCTTTTACTGTTAACAAAGGGAAAATGTACGTACTTTTCTGAAAGCATCTGCCCGTTCAGTGGCTTTCCCAATGGCAAAACCTTTAAAAGAAAAAGCAAAAATATGAAAAGGGGCATAAATTTGGCACATAATGTCTTTTACCACATTTCAAGTTTCAGTTCCTACGACATTTCACAGTAGTTCATCTTTCTTCTGCCCACAGAAAACCCGCTATCCAAAACAAATGACAAAGCATGAGGCTACAGAGATTTGCTTCTTTGTTTTGGGGCATTTTGGAAACATTACATTTGAACGTACCTATGAAATTCAAGGTTAGATGCATAACATTACCTTTTATAAATTTCTAGATAAAACTACACTGAATAAAAAAACAAACGAAAAACCCAAAAAACCCCTAACCATGCTAAATTAATAAGGTAAATGGTTTTCACAAATTCTGAAAACAGATTAAAATAACCAGAACAGTTGGGAAAAAAGCATACACTGCTAGAGAGTAAAACCACGATTTCACTGGAACTTTCAAATGCAATTCAGATTTCAGTTAATACGGAAATAAAAATCAATGATTCCTGAGTTTGTAAATGCTTAATCCTGTGAAATGAGGTTTACCACAAGTTAAGAAAATGTTTGCATTATTTGCTATCACCATTATTTATTTTGAAGAATGTATTTTGTTTTTAAATTATACACAGAAAAGTAACATAAGACAATACTGTTCCATGAGATATGCAAGACATCTGAGAAGCTGGGGCAAAAGGGGCTGTGGATTACAATTACTAGTTTAAAAAAAATTAAACCATATAAGTCCTTGAGGAATATATGGGTGAACTTACTTGCTACATAAAGGTATAAAGCTTCTGTGATTTAAAAACTTTCGTGTGGAAAAAATTTAAAACTAACTCAAAATATATGACAGATAAAGGGCTAATGTCCTTAACATACAAAGAGGAAAATCATTGAGGAGAATAATCACCCAACAGTAAGTGTGTGAAACACATGAACTAACAGATCTCAAAAAGTAAATTATAATGGCCAACAGACATGTAAAATGGTGTCCTAACTCTCATGACTAAAGAAATACAGATCAAAACTAAGAGTTATGTTTCATATCGTCACTTACTTACAATCAGTAAAGTCTGACTCTATCCAGGACTGGCAAGGGTGTGACGGTGCAGATAAACATAAATGGATGCAGCCTTTTGGGAGGGCAATCTGGCAATACTCATCAACATTTCAAATGTATGTAACTTAGAGGCAGCAATTTCACTGCAAGAAATTTCCCTATCGATACGCTTGCAAAAGTACAACATATGACATGTACAAGAAGCTCACTGTTTTTATAAATAGTAAAAAAAAAAAAAAAGTATAAACAACATAAATATTCAGCAATAGGGAAATGGTTACAAAATTACACTACCCACACACCGGAACACTATGCAATCAATACAAAAAAATGAGGGGGAATCCATTTATGCTAATATATAAATCTCTGGGTATAATACTCAGCAAGAAAACAAGCTTATATGGGTTTACCACAAGGTTTGTGAGCCCAAGCCGCTGAAAGATTTAATTAGTCAAAAAAGCCTGAACCCACTGACTCCACGGCTGAGCCGAGGCCACAGCTGTCCCTCCACCACCAGCTCTCCGTATATGATCACACCACCATTCACCTGCAGCTCCTCTGCCATTCCCCACAGCGACCAGGACACGGACTGATCTCTTTCTTCCCTCTTTTGCTGTCATATTGAAAACATTCCTCACCTAAAAGAAAATGTTTCATAAATATTATACCTTAAGAAAATTCTGAAGTAGGAAACTGGAGTGACCTCCTCACACACACACGTGGTGAATACACACATCATCCCTCAATCCCACGAGCACCAACAGCACACTTTCTCCAATGGGAAACCTCCATCTGGACTGTTTCTTCAGGAGTAAAATGGAAGTAAGGCTTCCTCTTCTTATTTCACAGGCTTGTTAGAAAGTTTGACTGAGACAACTTTTAAAGGATCTGAAACTGTAAAACTCAATACACCCTATTTTAATGAACGCACCACAAGAAAGATAAAAAGTTGCCAATTAAACTCTGACATAGTTTATAACTAACTGATTATAAAAACACATCCTTCGAATTCCCTGGAGGTCCAGTGGTTAGGACTTGGCGCTCTAACTGCTGGGGCCTGGGTTCCATCCCTGGTCGGGGGACTAAGATATAACAAGCTGCGGGGAGCAGCCAAAAATCAATCAATCAGTCAATCAATCACATCCCAATATCACAGATTTTAAAATATGAAAAAATGTGCATCTTAGAAATGATAAAATGCAGTGTATAGAATAATTAGCACAGGACTAGATCTCTATGGGTTAGGCTCAACTGAAAATAGAAAATTTGGAAATACCTGCTTATTATGAACTACAAGAAAATCTGCATTTTTTGGCATATTTATAAATTTACCAAGAACTATGAAATGTTAACTAAACTGCTCACATGGCAGCCCCTTTCCCGTAAGGTAAGAAAAGGGAGCTCAAGCCCACTCCTGTGGATAATCTTACAGGAAATCACCCACATAGACGAGTTCTTCAAAGGAATTAATTTCAAAAGGGTGTAAGCTAGGACCCAAAGACTTAAAATACTTGTAATATATCTTAAACTCTGTAATGCAACTGATATTGAAGAAACAATATACACATTCAATCACAAACTCAATACATGATTATTCCATATGGCATTTAACACTAAGTATGCAGCACTAGCTCAAAGGGAAGTTGACTGTATTAGGAAACACCCTGGAAAGA